TAAAGGTGAGTTTTTAGCCCATAGGAACGCATTAATCATGTTTTAATGCGTTTCTATGAGTTTTTTATTTTCGCTTAGTGATGATATCGCTTAGCAGTGATTTTTTCTGCACGGATTAACATCGCTAAGCAAGGCACCACTGTATAGCCATGGCTCAAAATGCTTGTAGCTCAAAATGCTTATAGCAAAACTCATTTCAAACAAAAGCGATCTATTTATTTCTTTTCAGTCTAGAACAACAGTAGCAATCAATTGGCTTTTCCCTTAAAGGAGACCCAGGCTTGTGCTTCCCAAAACCTATTGCTAATTGCCTGTAACTAAGTGATTGCTTTGCCCTCAAATGTTACTGTTGGGTACTCATTCATTTCCTGTGTTTAACAGAAAGCCATTTCCCATAGGAAATGGTTAGTAATTTTCCTTTGCCGCTTTCACAGTTCAATCTTGACCCTTGAACAGGACAAGGTCTATAATTTTAACATCAGAACACAAAGGCTAAACAGATCTGAAATGGCTTGTACTTTTTCTTTCTTCCTCTCCGCCCCTTAAAGGTGATTTGCACTGAATTGATGTTTTAAAAACAACAACACAACCCCTAAAATGTTTTTTAAGCGTAATATTTCCAAGCTCTCATCTTACTTATGTGTTTTACATCTTTGGCTTATGTTTTATATTGTAATGGAACTACCATACCCTCTAGTTCTACTGATTTTCATCAGGAAGATACAAAATGGTGTATGGGAGAGGCTTCTGCTATGGATTAATGGTTATCTATAACAAGGGCTGGATTTTGTGCTGGATAATAATGTAAAGGATGTTCACAACTAATCTTGTCCATAGTGAAAAAGAATGTATCAGCTGATCTTTGATTGTAATGTTGTTGATATCATGGGAAACCCTGACATCTGAGCGTTCAGCCTGGAGGCAGGTGGTGCATCATGGACTCTCCCAATTCAAAGATACCCTTGTCCAGAAGGTCGAGGCAAAGAGGCAGTCATGAAACCAGCAAAATCTGAGAGCTGGACAGGGGACTGATTGTATTTGTCCTCAGTGTGAAAGGGATTGTCACTCTTGAATTGGCCTTCTCAGACACAAGTCCTCCATACAGAGCACGTTACCATAGTCTCCCGAGACTGAAGGATGCCTAATCTGATTGTAATAAAGGAATTGAATTGAACTGAGGATGTCTGGTCCATGGGGTCACGAAGAGTCGGACACGACTAAACGACTAAACACACACACAACAGCTCAAGAGGGACCACTGTCTTTTCTTGTCAGCAACAGCATAACTAAAAGCTATTATATTTTGCACTATAACTCTGTTATTTTGTTATAATAGCTTATATTCTGCAAATCAAATCAAATCAAATCAAATCACTGTACAAAATATGATTTCTGCTCTAACACTGTTTTTATGCAAAAGAAGTTTACATTTAAAATAGGGCTAGAATTGCAAACATGCATGCATGTGCACAGGTGCACACACAGAGAGAGACACTCTTCCAGTGGAGAGAAAATCTTTGAAATATTCCCCTCTTACCTACAAGAATGAAATAATCAAAGATGTACATTCCTCATGTCTTTTAAAGTTCTCGTGTAGAAAACGAGACAAAGCAAGACAGTACGGTTTATTTGTTTATTTATTTTGGAGAGATTTTGGGTAGTTACAAGATCATTTTTGTGCATTTCTGGAAAATGTACGTTTTCAGAAAATGTGGTAAGTATTGTCTTCTTGCATTAACTACCAAAGTATTGGATAGTTTGTGTGCATCTTTTTGATCAATAAGCTCATACTTTTGTGCTTCTTCTAGGTGTGTTGGTTTTGTCCCATCACCTTTTGTACAGAATGTAAAAAGTACAAGGGCAGAGAGAAGTGCATGTTGTCCTGTCATTGCACAAAACACAAGAACGCTCATGAGTTTACAGAATTCTCAGTGTTACCACATCAAGTTTGAGTAGAGAGACCTTTGGGTAGAGTGGGTGGCATATAAGTTAAATAAATAAATAAAAAATATATGTTTGTGTGTCTCTACAAGAAACAAGAAATTGTCAGGGTTTCTTCACCTCCCTTAGATACATGTTCAGTTTTCCAGGCTGGTGGCCAAGTCAGATTCAATCTATGACATGGAAGGAGGGGCAAAATCTTCTTTCTTAGTTGCACGAGTGCCCAGAATATCTACACAAACACCAAGGCTGAATGGCTATCCCCAAAGCACTGTGGAATCAAATTGTGCACTTCCTTGCTGCTGGGCATAACATCCAGGTCCTTTATGCTGGTGTAACTTTGCATTATGCCAGTATGAATATTGGGAAATGTCACAGATAACCATTGATTTCAGTGGCATTCAACTGTACTTGTTTTGAAACTGAAAGCAAGAAGTGAAAACTGTACAGAACATATTTCAAACAAGGCATCCTATGGTCTGAAATGGAATGTCTTTCATACAGTAGCATATCCATTCAGAAATACACACAATAATTGGTGAAAAAAACTTCATGAAATTATTTCTGTGTAATCTCATAATAATTCTCGGCTGGTTTTTCAATGGTAGCATTTCCCCTCTGCCTCAATGCATCATCATTACGAAAGGCACATAAATAGTGCATTTTGCACCCTGCAACCTAGCACATTAAATTCCCATCTTCTGTTACTGCTAAACAGCTGCATCACAGGTGGCAGAAAATGATAAAATGGTAAGCCAGTCCTGTATGCTTTCCATTTCCATTTATTTCCTAAGCAATTTTATTACTATTTTAATGAAAGTGCTGTGGGTTTATTTATTGCGAGGAAACAAACGTGCTTCCTTATAGCTAAAAAATGTACCCAATATGTGGAACCAGCATTCCTGATCTTAAAACTGTACGATATAAAGGAATTTACACTACATTTTTGAAGAGAATAGTGAGGAAATATAAATCTTACAAAAAACAAAAATATTTAATTACAGTTTATTGTGTTTTAGAGAATGCTGAAGCTTTATAGAGACTGCATGCATCACAACAATAAAAATATAAACATAAGCTAGCTAGTGGAAATAAATATTATTCCTTATTATATTTCCCCTTCAGGTTCATACGTCTTTAATGGAAATATATAGCAGCACACTCTAAACAATATACAATGCATCACAAATGGATAAAACCATCAGAAAGACTACAGTGGACTCTCTACTTACGGAATTAATCCATATTGGAACAGTGGCTGCAAGTCGAAAAGTCTGTAGGTCAAATCTCCATTGACCTACAATGCATTGAAAACTGATTAATCCCATAACTGGCAGTTTTTATTCTGTTTTTGGGTTTTTTTCTGGTCTGTAGGTCGATTCTCCGGCTGCAAGTCAAATCTAAATTTTGCAGCCAGAGAAGTCTGTAACTCGAAAATTCTGTAAGTCGAGCCATCTGTAAGTCGAGGGTCCACTGTATTGTAAAGGAGACAATAAAGAGCCTTGTAGTTCCTCAAAAACTGATTTTATTGTGAAGTAATCTTTCATGAACACCTTCTTGGTGTCTGAAACATCCAGAGGATTATAGTTCATGAAAGCCTATTTCATGAGGGAACTAGTTCCTATAAGTAAAAATCAAGACAAAATCTAACAAATGTCATGGGAATAGTAGTATTAGCACCAATTACCTTATAAACAAGCCTTTGGAACACTAGTAAAAATCAGATGGACTCAGGCCTCCTTCCCTTTACTGGTTACCACCCAACCCCTCCACTGTGACTACAGCAAAAATACCAGCCCAACGGCAGCCCAATCTGCTCTCAAGATGGCTGCATGAACTACAGTACACGAGTTTGGCTGTGCCTAGCCTTGGACTTGTGTAATGAAGTTCAGGCTTGCAGCCAATCATAATGTCTACAAGTAGGCAGTTTCACAATACTATTATCCAGTTTCATACTAAAATATTCACAGGCTGGTTAATGACATGTGTACAATACAGAGCCTTTATTTTGCATTCTCTTTCCATCTATCACAACTTTTTAAAAACTAGCTTTGAACTCAAATCACTGCGATTTTTAAAAAGCTGGATAACAGAAATATTACCACCCATGATCTGTCCTGTGGTTGTTGCTTTCTTCGGATGACAAACGATTCTTCGTCTCTAATTTCCGTAACATTTTCTGAAACAATTCAAGAGCTCTCTCGCCTTTTGTAGTATATCATTTCATTTGACCAACTCTTATTTCCTTGTCTTTAACAATAGCAGGACTAATAGTACCATTCACTCAAAATGGTCATTCTTACATCTTTATATGTGCAACTGCTTGGTAAATGTGAGGGCAATGGGCAATGATGACTTTAACACTTACAGTTATTATCTCATACGGGGTCTTACCACAGAGATTACTGTTGCCAGACAGATACAACTATGTTTACCTTTGCCTTTTCCATCCTCAGAAACTAAGCTGCATGGAAGTGATTTCAATCCATCATGTAACCTCCCATGATACAATATAACACAGGAAAGTGGTTACATTTGGACTTTGAATGTCAGAATGTCAGAAATGACAAATTGGGGCGATTTGCAACATTTGAGGGAGAAAAGACAAACCTGCTTATGGAAAGCTAAGGAGGCGAGATGAATTGTGTTATCAACGGGGAATGGTTTGAGATATTAAAGCCGAACTGAATCATGGGAAATTGAGACTCTTGAAACTATCTGTCTTCACATATTTGAACTGAGAGAAAGAAAAATGCCTGTATTTGCCTTCATCCTGTGTGACTGGTTAAAAATAGAACTCCTTAAAAATACAACGCTATATGGGTTGTGAAGTGTTTCATCCACCTCTTGTGCAAAAGATAACCATGGTTATTGTTTCCAATCAGAATGATGATACGTCTTGTACCAATGAACTAGGAAACCACGTGTTGTTTCTCCACAGAGAAATGCTGTCATGGTTTGACCACTATTGATACAGTCCCCCACATCCATGATATGCTAATAAGTGGGTACCTGTAGTTCAGAATGTGGTGGTTATTAAGTTTTATAATTCTTTTCAGAGCTGATGTATACAGTTGAACTTGCTGGCGGGCTTGGTGCTATTCTGCTACTGCTTGTTTGTTTAGTGACAATCTACAAATGCTACAAGATTGAGATTATGCTCTTCTACAGGAATCATTTTGGTGCTGAAGAACTAGATGGAGGTAAGCAAGCATCTCCATGTACATTTTTAAATATGACTTTTGTTTTGGATTTCAAATGAAGATCTTAAAAAAGACACCAGAGATACACATAATATGAGGGCTAGATCCAACAATAAGCTAGCAGCTTGGGGGGGGGGAGAAATCACTCCTCATAAATTTCCATCTCTCCTGAAAACCAGTTGCAGAGAATCTACTATTTCCATCACCCCAGAGCTGGTGCAGTGGAGCTGCAGTGGATCACACATACATACATAGTTCTACTAAAACATATAATTGTGTCATTCTCCTATGATGGCATTTTACAATGCTGTCATGGGATATTGTCCATTGTCACTAATCAGGGGAGACAAAAAACTTGCTGATTATCTTGCAGTATATTTTTACTGCTTTTGACCAAACCATTCTAGCTTTCCAAAGAGTAGAATATACATCACAAAACACAAGTGTGTGAAAATTCTATTTCTGATTTTTTAAAAATAATAACAATAACAATAATACTGTCAAATGATGAATCACACTATAATCAGGAAGACTGCTTGGGAGGCTTCCAATTTCATGCTATAACTTCACTACCTACCTATAATAATAATAATAATAATAACAATAACAACAACAACAACAACAACAACAACAACAACATTCACTTTTCTAAGGGAGCTGGCATTGTTTCCATTTGCAAGTCCCTGATTTTTATTCTGACTTTTAATCTGATTTTTAAAATTGCAGCAGAATCTCTCTATAGTGTCTCTTGGCTAACTTTACATAATGCATCAATGTTCTCGCCCTTGGAAATTTATGAGCCTTCGGTGATAAATTAGCAGACATGGGATGATTTTCACAGTCCCTCCCTTAAAGATCTCTGTACACTGGGAGAGAAGGCCCATCTTACTGCTGAAACCATGCAAACATCTGCAGATTTGCCTGCTGAAATGTAACGGAAAATGGAATGATTATTGATTGATTAATGGACATGGAAAAGAAAAGAAAAAAAAACTCTGTTCATACCAGAGGTCTTTTCCATTTTGTAACTGCAAAAGTACAAATTTGGATGTGGGCCACACATATTTATTTGTATCTCAGCCACCCCACATGAGACAGGGCTGGTTTTATAAAAGCTGCTTCTTTTTTCACATTCGTTTCATTTTCTATTTCATTCAAACAGACAAACTTTCATCCACACTTGGATTTTTGTTCAACAGCAGATGTGCAAGCTTTCTGCAATGAAATAAACAGACCTTACTTGCCTCAACAGAGAATTTTTCTCTGCCTTTTCATGTTCACAAATCAATCATTTCATTTTCTGATTCACTTGGAACAAGAGATCAGTTCCACAGACGCCAAAAAACACAGAAGTATTGAAGGCTATCCATTGCATAGCCTCTGGCTCCCTCTAGTGGCCAGTTGGGGGTAAATATATATATTTCTGGGGTTTTTTCATTTAGTATTTTCAAGCAGCGGATAAAGAGCTTGCAGATTGGGGGTCTACTGTTTTAACATGTGACAGTTCTATAACGTGGGAACTATTAATAGAAGCACTAGGTGCATTAAATCAGTGGTTCTTAACCTTTGTTACTAGGATGCTTTTGAACTGCAACTCCCAGAAACCCCAGTCAGGACAGCTGGTGGTGAAGGCTTCTGGGAGTTGCAGTCCAAAACTCCTGAGTAACCCAAGGTTAAGAACCAGTGCATTAAATGACCAACAACTGCAGTTTTCAATCAGACTCTGATTAAGGGTTCAATATGTCCTGTGGAAATCAGGCTAATCTCTAGAAGTGACATCCTGTTGATTCATGTAAACCTAATTTCCAGATAGTCTACAATGATCCAGAGATGGTTTTCAGTAACTTCTCAACATCTTCTACTTAACATGATTATACAATTTAAAATGTATTGTTTCCAGAGGATTAAATTATGTGCTCCATCCAATTGATGTCATGGTTTAAATCAGTATTTCTGAGCCAATTTTATATGAAATAAGAGAAGGCTGTTTTACATCAAGCATTCAGAGTGTATATGTCTTGGTGAATTCGTTCTCTCAGAATATTTGTTTGGTTCCATGTATAACAAAGAACTGAAAACACATGTGACTGCATAAATTCTATACACAGTTATTCACCAGGCATATTTAGCAGCAAGAATAGATGTAAAAACTGTTTTTAATTCATAAAAAGTCATTACATAAAGTTGTAAGGCCAATAATGATCAGAACTATGTTGTTTCAAGTTTTTACCATCTGGGAACTCCTTCAGACTTAGGAATTAATCCAAAATATATATTCTGAGAGTTTTAAAAAAAGTAAAGAGACTCTTTAAAAAGAGTTGCAAATTCAAACCCTCCAGTTTGGATGGCTGTCTGTAACCTATTACATATAACTGCAAGTAAATAAATAAATAAATATTTGTAAGGAAAATCCAGTTTATTCACAAGTGTACTATTTGGGTTATCAGAGGAAGAGTACTTAGATTTATAGGGCCTGATGTAACAGCGATATTGGGTCCATTTTCTCCCTGAAGCTGAATAGCCATTGACACCTACCCAACTGTACAGGTCAAGGTGCCTAGCACTGGAAGTCAGCTACGTTATTTTAACATGAGAGCAAAAATTCCACAGGTACCTTTTTGTGTTTTTCCAGAAAAAGTGTAACTACATATTAAATAGGTAACATCCTAAATGTCTTTTGTTAAACCCCAGGGCCCAAGGCAGGCACCCCATTCTGCCTAAAGGTAAGACCAATACTTGTGGTAGGGTTGAATCTGTAAGTCTAGACAAAAAAAAGGCCCTTTCACATTTTCAGGATGTGAAAACATGGGCCTGTCATTAATAACCCTTGAATCACAAGTGAATAATGCCTTATGTGTGTATGTATATATTATATTACATATAACTTTCCCTCCACTGTTGTACCAAGGAGCATTTGGGAGTAAAAACAAAAGAGAGTTCCCAAAACAAAAGAATGTAAAGATCTTTGATAGTTAGTATCAAAGATCTTTTGATAGTGTTATATATATATATATATCAAAAGATCTTTACATTCTTTTGTTTTGGGAACTCTCTTTTGTTTTTACTCCCAAATGCTCCTTGGTACAACTGTGGAGGGAAAGTATGGCCTTTAAAATAATCATAGATCTAACTTATTTAGCCGCCCAGAGTAGACTTCGGTCTAGATGGGAGGATGGATGGATGGATGGATGGATGGATGGATGGATGGATGGATGGATGGATGGATGGATGGATGGATGGATGGATGGATGGATGGATGGATGTAAAAGCAAAAACATATGATGATTTGTTGTAGGTTTTTCAGGCTGTTTGGCCATGTTCTGGAGGTTCTTCTTCCTAACGTCTTGCCAGTCTCTGTGGCTGGCATCTTCAGAGGACAGAAGCTAGAACAGAGTTCTCGTGGCAAAACACCTCAGCAAATAAAATGTTATAGGCTAGCCTTCGTGGTGGCAACTCTTGCTTTGAGGAACCTTGGGTTCAATTTCACCATATGATGAAAGAGTGCTATATTTATTTAGCCCCATACTGAAAATTGAAAGCTGGCTAGATAATTCAGTGAGTTAGGTATCTGGCTGTGGAGCCAAAGGTTGGGAATTTAATTCCCCACCGTGTTTTCTAGGGGGAAAAATTGCCTGTGTAACCCTGGGCAAGCTGCATAGTCCCAGGATGCCCTCAGAAAAAGGGAACAGCAAACCACTTCTGAGTACTCTCTACCTAGAAAACCCTGAAAAGGATTGGCATAAATCAAATTGAATTGATGGTGCATGATGATAATGATACTGAAAATTGTGTTACGGTTGTTGTAGTTATGTTTTACTAGCTTAATTCTGATTCAATTTCCTTCATCAAAAACTTCTATTTAGAAGTGATTGTTTTTGATACTTTGACAGTTATAATAGACTGACAGTGTTTAAGTCCTTAATAAAAATTAAAAATCACCTAGAACAAGTTTTGTCTGTTCATAAGCAGTAGATAAACATGAATGCAGTTGATAAGCATGATTACTGTCTTGTTCCAGTTTATTAAGAGTCTTGATAAAGCTAACCATTTATTAGATCTAACGGTTGAGAAGTAGAGGGAAATGGATTAGGAGGTAAAAATCAATGAAGAATAATTAGTATGTAATTTTCTTTATATTCCTTTCCCATAATTTTCACTCCAGTTATGTCTAAATTAGGCCCTTCTTTCCCAGCCAAAGATTCAGGCATTACATAATCAATATTAATCTGCTAAAATGAACATACTTAGCAGACTTACTATTCCCGATCAGCTTCAGGCATTGTTCTTTAGTTTCATCTCAATGACCTAAGCAGAAAATTGTTCCAGCTGTACTCTAAAAAATAAAGCACCTCAATTCATTATATAAAATGCTTCACCTTAATATTATGATTTCTTTCTTCATTCTTGAGAATAGTACAAGAAAAAAGCATAATCCAATCAAAACTATTTCACTTGGACATAAAATTGATGTGGTCTGAACTGGAGATATAAAATCTAGATATATTCAAGTTTTGGAGGTAGGGGATTTCATTGTCCTTTATCCTGCCCAAGAAAAGTGGAAATTTGGGGAGAAAACAAAATAAATGCAAATTTAGGTTCCCATCAAGGGTAAATCAATCTTGCTGTTTGTTCTGCCCTTAAAGTACTGCATTCTATCCAAAGGGAAAATAGTTTGCTGCTGTTGTTTTTTGCTTTTCATGCACCCCCAAATTACTATTTCTTCTACTGGAAAACTTGAAAATGTGCCCTTGTAAAAATACACACACATACACACATGCCACCATCGTTGGTCATTTCATTCCACAGATATGCCAAACAATTGTTGACAAACTTTGAATCTGTAAGAGTATGGTGTCAGTGGGGATTTTTTATCTTTATTTATTAATTAAAACATTTTACCCTTCCTCACCATCCATATGAGATTCTCTAAGTCCTTAATCGACAGTCTTCAACTTTGTTATGTCCCACAACCTGACTAGTGATGCCCAGTGATGCCGTAC